TAAAGAGCCGCTACTCGGTTTCAAAACCAGTTGTCATCCCTGGGATTTGTTTAAACCGTCGTGCGATGTTGTTTGCAAATTACGCTCTCGTGTCCACAGAAGATAATGTTTCCTTACATTTTCCGGTTGGTTCTGCCACCAGATTTTCGTGTGGTACGACATTTCTTGCAGCGCAGCGTGGCAACAACAAGGTGATAATCGGTTGGTAGCTCTGCGCCTCTCTTAACGCGAACATCCATTACGGAACTTCTTAAGTTAGATGATAGAATTATCAAATCGATCATCGACTTCTGTGCACAAGCTTTCCGGTACCAGGTATACTGATGCACTTTTCGATGCTCGAAAAAGATGTTCATAATGCACAATCTGTTGTTTGCACAAAACCGCAACAACTTCATGCGGTTATTGCTGAGGACTTTTTCTAGTGTCTGCTCTAAGATGCCAATCAAAATCATTATTCTGAATGATGAATTTTGTATTCGGCACTTCGTCAGAGCATCTTCCACTTCTTCCATCAAGAACACATATGATCCCTCCAAATATTCTGAAGAGACCTATGATGAGTTCAAAGCTTTAGCCTGTGATAGCTTTAATGAGATGATCGCCCTTCTTACGCTGACGGACGTTCATTCACTGATTCTTTCAGCCAGGATCGGTTGTACCAGAAGACGATTACAGGCCTGAAGGCACGACGTGATGTCCAGTCCTGAGTAGAAGAGCTTCCACCTGCAGTGGTCCAGAATTCCAGAGCTTAGACGCTTCGGTAACTGGAGCCCAACTACATCGAGTTAATATCTTGCGGCCTCGTTTAAAAGCTCCTGCTCTTTCCCTCTGAGTGCGGATGTTTCAATTTCTGACTGCAAGCCCAACTGGCGGTATCGTTTTCCTCAAACCTTATCTGACGTCCTATAATGGCATTGCATTGTCCGCCGTTTCTGTTCACAAGGGGAAGCGACTCTGTTGCTGACTTATATCAATCATTTTCGACAGTCATCGGTGTGCCGCTGCCTCCAGCTGGCAGGAAGCGCTAAGCGGCTTCTGATCGTGGACTCGCTACCCGAATAATCTGCATGGCTTGTAACAACCGGCGGCTGACTGAATCGATGTAACGCTCGATAATGGCAATACCATCATATCGCAGATCGCTAAGCTTCACTGAAGAGCTCGTAATAGTTCCTAGCCCTGATTGTTTTTCTTTCTATCTTCGAACAGGCAACGATAGAGTCTGAAAGGACAGGTGCTAATTTAAAGCAATTCGGCGATACCTCATTTGACTTCGATGTGTAAATCAAGAGACTACAACGCCTTTCGAACAAACGATTTTTCATAATGTGGTTTTAAAGCAGTATAAGCAACGGTAATATATCATCGCTGATAATTACATAAGCATGGTACGGTTGTGGGTGATATAATATTTAGATATTCTGCCATTGAAGATGTTAAGTAGAGCAAATCCGAATGCTCCACTCGGTAATGCGTTCAATGTTACTGAAGAAAACAGGCCTTCAGATCGAAATCAAGGTGACAAATAGGCAGTCTCCTTTCATGTACCTTATATCAACGCCTTGATTTTCATCCCGATACACCCCTACCCAAAATACATGACATTGAATTGTTCCAACACCATGTGAATCCTAATGCAGAACCGTATTTCAGCATGACTCATTCACAGACCGTAGAATAACGAAATGTAAAAGCAAGTCTGCATCTTTAATCTCTCAGGGAAGTGCCAAGTGATACGTACTGCCACATAGTAAGAATGCAAATTCTTTAATAATTGTTGGCGTATCAAAATACGATACAAAAAACATAAAAGACATGCATATATAATAGCATATGTTTTATTGTACGCGTCAACTGATCGTTTGGAAAAAATTCAGCAACATGCAGACTTCTGATTAAGGAAGGCCGCGCTGCTTCCGGTACAATAGTGAAACGTTCAACCGCACAGGTTACTGTTGAAGAAAATTTCTTGCAGTAATGAAACATAACCATGAACATATAAGCGAAAGTTCGAAAGCAACGGCAGAGCTTGAAACTCGTCGATGTACGAGCAGCAGCAGCTCCAATCGACTGCACACATCGAAACAGTTCAAAACGTATGCCGACATAAAGGACATTCTGTTTTGTTGCTAGTACTGAACCATTTTCGCTAAAACAGAGAAAGGAACTAGTGAACGATCACATCTTATACACGCGTATTCATACCAAGCATTCGCCATGAAATTTTTTCCGACACCGCTTGCATCCAACGGAAGGCAGTCGGTAGTTCGAGCCGTGAATGGTCATCATGCAGATCGAGCATGCTTCAACACCCTGTATGTGTTTCTCGAAGGACAGCTTCCACATCAGTATCGCGTCCAAGACACTACCGTTCTACAAACAGTTCTGAGTGCTGAGGACAGCAACACAATTTCGACAATACCTGGTGCGTAATGAACACGACCAAATTCTTCATCCATTGGCGCCACTTTTCCTTGGATGCACCAAGCTGCCTGTTAATTAAAACCTCAGGCAGACTTAAGGGATAATCCTCTGGTAAAGCCACAGTCATTTCCATTCGAAAGTCTTCATGGTCATAAACAGCCAACACTTTGCGTGAGTTAATCTGAGGCGTCAGCTATAAAAGAAAATCACAAAAAAAACTAGTCACAGCAATAAAATTTGCAATTTAAGTCAGCTTAAAATGAAAAAATTTAGAAATTACTTCAAAATAATTCTATTGCCTTAAGTCTAAGACTAGAATCCTCTACAATATGTCTGCTGCCTATTCATTTCCTCAACTCATTTTGAACCC